ATAAATAATTATGATAAATAAAATCAAATTAGATAAAAAATTAAAAAAAATAAAAAACTCTCTAATTGAAAAAAAAATTCTAAAAACACTCGCATAAAAAAGAAATTAATCTTTAACATATAATCAAAATTTCATTCATTTTTTTGGTAACATCAAAATATAATTCATAAATAAATTTAATAAATTAAATCGAATTTGATAAGAAATTATAAGAAATTCCTAAAAATCCTTCCATTAAAGAAAAATCCTTAAACAAAACTCTCATGTAGAATAAAAATTTATGTTTAATATATAAGAATTAATTTTTAAGGGAAAAGATCCACTATTTCCAGTAACATAAAGCAAGCAGATTTGTCTCACTTATTCCTAAAGTGACTTCATTTCCATATGAATGAAAGTAACTTTCTACAGTAATTATTTATCCCTACTTCATTCTCCCGCATCACTTTTTTCATGTTTTAATTAAATGAATCATTTTTTAAATTAAATACCAACTAAACATGTTTATAAAAACAATATTTTTAGACATAATATTTCTAAAAATATGATTCCCGGGGATGTAGCAACCCTTGAAACAAATGATTAAAAAGCTGCAAATCTTGTCATAAAGCTTGGTTGTATTCAGTTAATCGTTTCAGAATAATGTAGTTCCGGATGAACAAAATAGAGCTTTTACCAATTTGTCCGAAAATGAGTAAATTAATGTTTTGGCACCTAAAATGTCTTATGCTAGCTTCTTTGCGAAAATGAAAACCATTTCAAAATTTTCATTCGTTATTTGTGATCTGTCTCAAATTTAAATTATGAAAACAATTAATAGTCTTTCCAAAATTAAATTGATAACTTTTTTTTATTTATTTTTCAATGAAAAAATACATATTAGTTTTAAGGATATAAAGCTTCAACTTATTAATATTTTTATGAGAAAAAAGGTTATGCATGACCGGCGTAAATGCAATCATGATCCTATATATGATAAATTTACTTAATTATACGATAATTATCTTAATTTCTACCGCAAATAAACGGGGAAGGAATTTTTTTTTTTTTAACAACGGGTTTAAAATCCAAAATCAAAATCCTCTAAAAAATAAACAGCAGAAACATATACAAGCAGGGGAAGGTGTGTCATGATGATGCGAAGACTAGGCAGATTTAATAAAGCATGTCACCAGAATTCTGTCAGTTGCAGAAGACTTGCAAAATTATATTGAGAAAACTAAAATATGCATGACATCATTTAACATGTTAAACGGAAAAGCAAACCATCATCAGACCTTCAGCCAAATGTTGCGATGAGGAAGGATTTATAAATGCTCATGAACTTGGCCACAAATGCTGCCAAAGTAAACAAATAAAAACCAAAAGAGTATCAGAATCAATATTCACTTTTTATATTTGCATGATGTGGATTTATTTATCCAATATACAATATACTTAAGTTTAAATATATTTTTAGTCCCTTTAAAAATTGTGTATCAAAAATAAATTTATCTTATATTTAAGAGACTAAAAATATATTTAAATCTAAAGAAATCACAATGCTCAGCCATAAGATATATCTGTCAATTTGATGGCCACACAAAATTGAGGCCAAAGTACCTTCAATGTGAAAAATTGCCTTCTGTCCAAGACGCATCCTATGTTCCTGGTTTAATGAAGGTTAAAAAAAAAGAATCAGGAACCACTTCGAAAATAAGGGCAAAGTACGTCAGAACCACACAGAATAATCAGTTGCTTAGGTTAACAAATAAGGGAAAATAAATACAGCAGGCATGAACCTTGTAGAAGACATGCCATATCAATTCCAAAAATAATACTGATAAAGCACTTACATAATATGCAGCCCAATGACAAACTTCGTGCTTTAGTTCTGCATCCAGTTTCCTCAATAGCTCGTAAAGGAGCCTCTGCGCCAACAAATATAACATCAAAGTCAAGTTAAAAAACAATAAAAAAAATTAACAAAGGGGACATTGTAAAGGGACACGTACCTTCAAAATGATCTCAGGAGGAATGCAATTGATTAGCAGTTCATAAAGCTTTCCCCGAACTTGAAACAACCTAAGGCATGAGACAGGGAAAGATGAAAGATGCATTGCGTGTCACATAAGCCATGATAAGTAACTAATACATGAAATTAGTTGACTACACAATTGCGTAGGTGATCCATGAACCTGGTGCATTTCAAGCTTCAATAATAGAACACTCAATTTATCAATAAAGATCAGACAAAGTACACTATCAAAAGCAAACCTTTTTGGGCTCTGCTCCTTCATTATGTCAGATGCAATTTCAGAAATATATTCTTCCCAGTCCATTGGAGGAATTGTTTGTTTGACAGTGAAAGGATACCTGCAAGTAACAAGTGACAAATGCAACAGAGAAACTGTCAGTAGTTGACTAGTTGCCCCTTAAAGCAAAGCTTTAGAAAGGAGATGAACATCTGAGATTATGCATCCACTAATGAAAAGGAGCATATGGAGCTTACTGTTGGACACGACAAGTCTCAAATGACAAAATTGCCCTCCTTAAATTCCTATTTGATTTTTCAGCGATACGAGCAGCAAAACCAGGAGGAAGTTGCAGCCCTTCTTTTTTACCAATGAATTCTAAAACTTCAACAATCTGCCATATAGATTTCCAAAGATTCAATATAGATGAATATTCAATTCAGAGAATGGGTAAGCTAAATAAGATCAATATATATAATATTATATATATTATACATATATGACAATGTCCATTGACATGGTATCTTTTGGGGGATGCAGATTAATTGCATATTATATCATAAAGCCAAAAAGCTGTTGAATACCTTTGGCATACCCTTTTGCTAAGGACAAGATCATCCAATTTCACAATGTTGACAAATAACAGAGTGATATGATGAATAAGAGTTTTGAAAGTTAATGTGTTTGCTCCAAGTGTATTAGGATAAAAAAGTGAAAATCTACCTGAACAGATAATCTGAAGACCATATGCTACTACAGTCTTATGACAATTTAAAAACAAGTCTGAAGACTATATTGTCCTAAGATGATTGGACATTCCTCTATGGTTGGTCAAAATGAGACAAAGCACAGTGAATTTTTTATAACACAATAGTCTTGAGCACCATGTCTGACTCTAAAGTAGATATGACAGTATACCCTTTTAGCTAAAGTAAGCCTATCGCAACACTTGCAAACTAAAGATTCGGTGACAATATTTGAAATCATTGAATGTGTAATTAATGCATCCAACATTCATATTTTAGAAGAGATACTCCCATACTTAAGGTCAACAACATCTCTCAAGAAGGACAGTTATCGATAGAGAAAATGGAGTAATTAATGATAGTGACTACTGTGAAACTCCATTAACACTAATCCGAGCTACCTATCTTACATTATTGTAATGTGCATCTATTGCATACTTTTTAGAGACTTAGAACAATTATCTCTCCTTTGCTTGTATAGATTACCAAAGGACAATAGTTATAAATTCTCTCTCTTTTCAAAAAGAAAAGGTGTATGGAACCTAAAAACACTTGATTAAAAGAATACTTCAGTTTGAGTTGGAGAGGCTTGTAAAAGAAAACTTGAAAAGTGAGGATTAAAAACTCCCTAGTATTATTCATTGTTCTTAGTGAACCATCGTATAATACTTGTGTTGATTCTCTTCTCCCTTTATCTATTTGTTTTCTAATTGAAAGAAGGATTAAATTGTGATGTTTTTTCCCCTAAAAACCAAGGTTCTCTTCAAAGATATTTTCTTTACATCACCTTAGTCCTGAGACTAACTTTTTTCTTTTATACATCTAAAATATTTCGCAAAATCTTAGGATCTATCAAATTGTATTTAAAAATATAGCAAAACACAATTGAACACATACAAAGGAAACAGATTCCTTACTTGCTTTGGCCACCATAGTATATGTTAAAAATTGAATTACCTGCTCTTCTCGTGGTGCGTTTATTCGAACATTGAGACAACGAGAGCGGATTGCTTCAGTGACTCTTGAAGAACTATTGCAACACAGTATTAATCTGCAATAAGCACTGTATTTCTCCATTGTTCTGCGGAGAGAATGTTGGGCTTCTCTAGAGAGTTTGTCAACATCATTGAGCACAAGTACTGATACAGAATAAAATCCAACATCAAGAAAAGATTAATAAAAGTGAAGGTAAAGGTGAATGTTTGGCTTGTAGACCTCACACTTATTATAAGGGTCAAGGTGGATGTTGCTTATATGACATAGACAAAAAGGAAACAAGGATACACAAAAGGAAATGGACCACATTACATAAGTAAAATAGACACTACCAAACTAAACCGCAATGTACACAATCAAAGAGAAAATGATGCACAACAGATAAGAATTGAAAGATAGCATTTGTATTTGAGAAAAATAAAATACAAAAATATGTTAACCATGCAATTGTGCAACTTTCTCTTTTGCTTAAAATGACACTCGTGTAGAGGTTAAAAATAAGACTGCAAGTTACCTTTAAACCCTTTCTTCCCCTTAGTATCAATGGGTCTATTCTTAGCCATTTCTTTGATTACTTCCTGAACAACGTATCTGTCCTGAAATCCTGCATCACTTGGACTCATTTCAATGTGATTGGCGCTTGCTAATGTTGTTAGCTCTAGATCAATTGATCTGCTCCCAGCCTGAAACCAATTCTCAAGCACTTCAAAATAAAAACAAATAACAAAAAATAAAAAACCAAAGGTTCAGTTTACTTCACATAAAAAACCCAATTGGTATACAGTTCAAAGTTATCCCTTAGTATCATCACCAGCAATAATAAAACCAAGTTAGGCTCCTATATGAAGTACACAAGACAAGATATTTTTATACGAAACAGAATCTAAAGAAATGTTTGTGTGTGGCTTATTTAAGGGCAAGAATTTCATTATTATCCAGGTCTTGTCCCACAGATAAAATATTCATGTTTCACAACAAAAATACTTGTTTCCTTTTCATAAATATAAAAACACAATGTAAAAACATATTGGAGGCTTGATATGGTGCTAACATATCAGAAAGGTTTGTCTGGTACCAGAGCCTGTTAGCAGTTGGCAGCCACTAATTACAAAGGGTACCATTAAAGGATTAAAAATTAAAATCGTACGAAAAATTCCCAAACCATAATAGCATGAGAAGATATCTAATAAAAGTCTCTTTAGGTAAACATCTTTCAAAACACTTGTAATAGGAAAAAAAAATAGAAAAAATAAATGAAATTAGTTACTCCAAAAGTTAAAATTAACTTTTGTATAAACTTTTTTTTTTTTTATCTGTAGGAGTTGCAATGATAACAACAGAATTTGAACCTAACACCCTGGCCATACTATCTCAACTCCCACAACACCGACCCTAGTGACTACTTATGTATAAACTAACTCGTAGAAGCTCTCCCAAGTTTCAATTTTCCAAAAACTTATTTTAAACTTATGCATAAACTAATTTTAACTTATGTAGAAGCTAATTCCATTTTCCCCCCCTATTTTCTTCTCTCCTATAAGTACTTTTGGAGAATTTTATCCAAACAAATCCTAAGCGAAGAAGCTTACATTCACTTTCCACGTCCTGTTCTCCACCTTCACCTGCACCAACAAACCAAGGTCAAATTGGAAAAGGAATAAAAAGGAAGGCACCAACAAGAGAATAATAAATCATCAACAGAACACAATACCCAAATACACATTTTTGTTTTTCCAGCGAGACAAACCCACTCAAAACTGACACGAAGAAAAATCAAACAAAAGGGTATAATAAAAAGAGAACCTTTTCGGCTCCGGGTCCGAACATTTGACGGAGAAGGGCCATGACTAGGGTTTTCTTGCCAGACCCAGATGGGCCATAGAAGAGCAAATGGGGGCAATCCTGTTCCGTTACCTGCGCCAATAGATGAAAATTAAATAAAAAAAAGTAACAAAAAAAAGGTCAAAATGGTTGATTAGACGGAGAAGAAATTAGAGAGTGAAAGAGTACCAATTTCTTGAGATTTTGAGCGATGTCGGCGTGGACCATAACCTGGTCGAGGGTTTTGGGACGATACTTATCAACCCACAACATCTTTGCCGATGTTCGTGTTTGTTGAACCTTAGAGTTAGAGAGAGGTGTCGCAGCAGCGAAGAAGGAACACACAGCACACTCACCGTAGTAGTAGTGGCGGGAAGGAGAGCCTTTATATAAATATTAGGCTTAATTGTATTTTTGGTCCTCCAAATTTAATGTAGGAGTAATTTTGATTCTTATAATTTAAATTGTTTAATTTTAGTCCATAAATTTAAATATTAACAATTTTAGTCTTACAAACAATTTACCATCTAAAATTTAACATACGTTAATGATGTGAATTTTATACTAAATAAACATTAATTATATATCATTTAATTTTTTACGTGTCAAATTATTTAATATTCAAATTTTAAAAAATTTAAATTCAAATAATATTGAAAACAAAATGAAAAGGGTATTGATATCAATCGTAGTGAGAATTTTTCACTAAAATAGAATTTAAAAAAAAAATTGCATTTTAGATCTGAGGATAGTGTAAAATTGGATCCATAACGGTCCATTTTCCTTTCAAAATGGCCTGTTTTCAATGCAACACTTGTAGAACGACCCATTCTCTTTTTAGGACGGGCCGTTCCAGATGCAAAAATACACGCATGACGAATGGATCAAAACGGGTCGTTCTGCTTGAACGTTCAAGTTTCAAAATTAACAGACTACGCGTGCAAGCAGAACGACCCGTTCTCCAAGTTGCAACATTAACACGCAACCTGAACTACAAACAGAAAAGAAAAAAAAAATTAAACACTACTCAGAATTCGGTTTCCCAGGGACCGAATTCTGAGCAAAAAACAAAACAAAAAAAAATTGAAGTTCAGAATTCGGTTCTTGGGGAACCGAATTCTGAGCGTGAACACTAAAAGGTGCTACTTCTGTAGATAAATTGGAACAAGTGCTGTTTTGGTAAAAAAAATTTAAAAAATTTTTATTTCAATAAAAAATTCTCGCAATGATTGTTGGAAAGAGATGATACTGGTGGCAATCGTGGCAGAGGTGCTGGAGGAGTACATGGCATTGTTGGCGAGGGTGCTGGTGAAGAAACAAAGGGAAGGGTACTTAGGATGAGAAAACGAATTTGAATTTAAAATTTTTAAAATTTGAATATTAAATAATATGACACGTAAGAAATTAAATAATATATAATTTTTTATTTAACATAAAATTTATATCATTAACGTCTGTTAAATTTTGGATGGTAAATTGTTTGTAGGACTAAAATTGCTCATTATTTGAATTTATAGACCAAAATTAAGTAATTCAAATTATGAGGACCAAAATTGTTCCTACACTAAATTAGGAGAATCAAAAGTGTAATTAAGCCTAAATATTAAAGTTTTTATTTTATTTTAGGTTTAAATGTAGAATTTTCCTCCTTAGTTTATTATCATCCCTATGTATTAGGGGTGGTGTACCTTGCCTAATTAAGTTCCTATGCAGGAAGTTTATATTTTTAATAAATTAGATAAGTTTAATAAGTGAAATAAATGGTTCACGAAAATTTTATCCCACTTTTAGGCCGTGAAATCCGTGAATAAATAGGTTGGTTTGCGAGCTCAATGAAAATTTGAATATTTGTTTTTAAAAAATTTGTTGTCAAATTGAAGGAAATTATTTCATTTCTTTATTAAGATATTGAAACATGAGAAAGAAAAATAATATTAAAAAGAATAAATAAATATGTTTGTAAGCAATATCATATGTTTTAATTTTGTTTTAAAAAAAAAATTAAGTCTTAATGTATCAATGTTTGTATTTCTTAAGAAAAATATCAAAATTTTAATAATTTAAAAGTTTAAGGGTTCAAATAAAATAATTAAAAAATCAAAATCCTATATTTTAATATCTTAAAATTTTAAAAGTTTAAATTCATTGATCAAATATCAAAGTCTTAATATCTTAAAAGTAAGTATTATTAAATTTTTAATATTAATCAAACTAACTTATTCCATGGATTAAACTTACAAAATATTCATTATAATCATATTGATTTTTAAAAAGTTAGCTCCTATCTTCGTGGACTATAGGTTAAATGGACCTATCTATGAATCTTGATTTATATAACTATTATTTTATACAACTTCTTTTAAATAAATTATAATTAAATTTATATATTTTTTTATTCATAAGAATTACATAAAGTTATCAAAGTTTAAACTTAAAACTCTACGTATATTACCTCAATTCTCACCACTAAACTTATATTATGTTTATATTGATTAGTAAAGAAAAAGACACTTCATATCTTGTGAATAAAAAAAGTGTCTCTAGGATTCAAAAAGGTTGATAGTTATTATTTTTAAGAAATTAGTTATTTTTTGCCTACTTTAAGAGATATATAGATACAACAAAGAGTAATTTTTTTTTTTTAAAAGTGGATACCAAATAATGATATCCCATTTATATATAACTAGAGGAACCGAGACACTTCGTATCTCTAATAATTATACACAGACAAATATTAGAAGTTATAGAAAATATAAGAATTTTTTATATATTCAATGGGTATAAAGGTCCACTAAAAAGTAGAGACCAAAATAATGATTACTAAAATGTATCTCTTTTATAATAGACTAGTAAGGTCGAGACATTTCGTGCCTCTATTAAAGATAAAATAAAATCAAAATTAAGTAATAAATATATGTTGATCTAATGTTATAATTAGTCAATTAATTTTAGGGTATTCATTTTGATAAAAATATTATTTTTTCTAATTTTTAAAATGAAAGGGTATAATGGTCAACAAAATGTGAAGACCAAAGTGGTTACTAAAAGGAGTATCTCCTTTATATATTAGTATAGATTATAAATACTAATTTATAAAAAGTTTTATCATAAGTTTTTTTTATATAAAAAAAAATACTAACATTCTTCAACATAAATCACTAAATCAATTATTTTAGACGGGCAACTTATTTTAATGAATATTAAACAATTAAACAATAACTAAAATCAAATTTTTAAGATTCCTAATTTAAAAACAATTATTTTAATATTGATTATAATATGATAAAAATATTTTTAAGAAGCAATAAGTAATAAATTTAAAAACATTATTTTAATTATTATAACATAATAAATATCATTTAATAGATTATAATATTTATTATAATGTAAATTGTAACACTATATATTTTTCTTTTATGCATGTTGTTTGATTTTTGTGTTGATTTTATGATATTTTAAGTTGTTGTGTTGTGTTGTAGGTTGTGTTATGAGTTCTAAGGGTTAACAAATTATTATGAGTTGAGTTGTTTAGAACTAAGGTCAAAGTTGACCAAAAATAGGGAAGGAATATAAGATTTTAGGAAATAAGGAACTTCATAAGTTCATTTCTTCCAATTTCTAGAGAGAAGTTTAGATAGATAAGTTAGCTATATAGACAAAGAAGATTGTTTCTACTTCTAATTCCACTAGAAGCATCTTTGTCCTTTCCTAAAGTGGTGATCAAGTTGTAGAAGCAAAGGTTTAAGCTAAAGAACTTAGAATCTTAAAGAGAAGTTGACCCCTAAGGGTCCTATTATTCTTCCTTTCTCCTTAAATTTCTTCTTGTTGCGGAAGCTTTTGAGATGACGAAAGGTTGTAGAATGACTTTTTTATGTTCATGTTGAATCCTAAGTTGATTGAGCTCATTGGAGGCATTTTTGTTGATTTTCGTGTTGTTGGTGAAGGTGGGGTTAGGGGTGTTGGAACCTAACCCAAGTTTTTTGGTGATCCCTTGTTGATGTTGAATGCATGGGTTGCCTATCATGATTTTCATTCTTTTTGAGTTGTTGAGAGTTGTTTCCATTACTTGCATGTAGTGTTGAGGTTGTGAGTTAGAAGTGAAGAAAGAAGCATGAGCACCATGGAGGTGTTGCACATTCTCACCCAATAAGATGGTGAACTTGTTAGGCAAGCTTTCATTTTTGAAGGCAATGTTGCCTACATCGCATTATCGCCTAATGACTTCATGTGTCACTTAACGAGAATAGGTGTTCCTGATGAACACTTTAAAGGTTCATTGGCGACACATGTGTCAACTAACATGAGGTCGTGGTTATGAAGGGCTAGAGTAGGAAGCTTTATGGAGAAAGGATAAACACTAGAAGGAAGATTGAATAATATATATCAAAAACTCATTTTTTTCGTAGTGAAGTAGTAACACTAGTTAGATGGAGTGTAAAAAGAAGTCAAACAAAATACTGAGTATTTTTATATTGGCACATCTCAACTACTGAGACTACGTCCAGTTCTCAATCCAACTAGATTGAGTTTCTCTATCTTTAAAAAAAAAGATATAAGTATTGATGGCAAAAACTAGGAGAAGTGGAAGGTGTTCTTCTCCTCAGATTCACCAATGCTTGGACCTCTTCAATGGAGACTTGAACTGAATGTAAGAACACTTGATTGGAGGAATATTTTCGGAACTAAGGTTTCCTAGGCTATGGATGGAAGCATCCAAGCTTAACCAAGTTGCAACATTAACACGCAACCTGAACTACAAACAGAAAAGAAAAAAAAAATTAAACACTACTCAGAATTCGGTTTCCCAGGGACCGAATTCTGAGCAAAAAACAAAACAAAAAAAAATTGAAGTTCAGAATTCGGTTCTTGGGGAACCGAATTCTGAGCGTGAACACTAAAAGGTGCTACTTCTGTAGATAAATTGGAACAAGTGCTGTTTTGGTAAAAAAAATTTAAAAAATTTTTATTTCAATAAAAAATTCTCGCAATGATTGTTGGAAAGAGATGATACTGGTGGCAATCGTGGCAGAGGTGCTGGAGGAGTACATGGCATTGTTGGCGAGGGTGCTGGTGAAGAAACAAAGGGAAGGGTATGGAGGGTGCTGGTGAAGAAACAAAGGGAAGGGTACTGAGGATGAGAAAACGAATTTGAATTTAAAATTTTTAAAATTTGAATATTAAATAATATGACACGTAAGAAATTAAATAATATATAATTTTTTATTTAACATAAAATTTATATCATTAACGTCTGTTAAATTTTGGATGGTAAATTGTTTGTAGGACTAAAATTGCTCATTATTTGAATTTATAGACCAAAATTAAGTAATTCAAATTATGAGGACCAAAATTGTTCCTACACTAAATTAGGAGAAT